TAACTCTTACGATAGGTACATATTCGTAGCATATCGACGCACCGTGAATGAATGTCAAGTCTGATAGGTGTGAAATAAAGAAGCGGATCGTATGTATGTATTTTTATACGTGGTAGAGCCATGCTGCAGATATTTTAGTACTATAGTCGTAGCACAAATGGGTCGGCTCGATTGGGGAAGGTCCAAGCTCTCACAGAATACCAGCGTAAAATAGTAGCGTAATGATGCTGTGTTTCGCATGGTGAGTGTAGAGAACCAGAGACCCTCAATACTGGAAAAGAGGCATTCCATCTTAGTTCTCACGTGTGACAACGCACCTGCATTTTGATTCGTAATCGAGGATAGATGTAGATGTCTGTGGGCCACAGCCACTTCTAGCTGTCCTATAAAAAAATGTAATTACTCTAAGAAACGGATATAATATTGTCACGCAGACAAAGGATCCATTCAAAGAGTTCTTGGAACGATATAAACTTTTTATCCTTATGTAGATTTATGGCCAGTTACATACTCGCAAGACTTGTTACATTTGTAGCAGTGTCACAAACATGTCATGATCCGATTCATCACATTTCGGTTCTTTTATGGTTCAGCTGTACTCTTACGGCTGAACGTGGCTCAACAAATTACTAATATTATATACTCCCATATTGGTTATTGGGTGAATCTCGTGTGATGAGTATAATTAGGTTAAATATTAGTGAAGAAGTTGGGTATTTAAGTATGGTAATAAAAATTATTTTCATTAATGTCACAGATACTACATATATCTGTCCAAACCCTAGTCGATAAACGCTCCGTTACTCAATTACGAACTTCGTGGCATTATAAAATTATAACATCCTTGAACCAAGTACATTGCCAAACCTGTGATTCATTCAAAAACATTAGCTTCTTAAGAGATTTGATATCTAGCATTAATTTGTTAAAGAAGTTAGGTTATATGACAAAATAAAATTTAAAAAAAATTGTAACATTGCTGTTGCCTGGTATGTGTATATTGCGGTTGTAACAATGATAAAAAGTTTTAATATTTCTAAAGTAAATGGTCGCCCTTCCGTTGCGTCGCAGCTATATTTCTAAAATTTGCCGTCGGACATTAAGTAGTTCAAGGAAACTTTTTGTAAAGAATTTTTTATTTTCTTTTCCTAATCTTTTCAAAAATATTAGCAGTCTTTTAAAAATTAAAACAGTTAATGCAAATTTATATTTATATACTTGTATAAATCAAGTGATTGACGCCTGTACTTCATAACATAATATTATTTATATTTTAAAGTAAAATTGTAAGAGGGAATCACATAATGATTGTAAGGATGCGTTACATAAAGTTTAGTGTTGCTTATACTAGTGCTTGTAGCGTGATTTCACTCGGTAGTTATAGAAAAACAATGGGGAAAACTAACCCGTACTTTTTTGCATAATTGTTTCTGTTATTAATTTTGTTCGATGATTGATGAATACCAAAAACAAAAGACAAAATACTGCATTATCTCGTTTATTATTATTGAACGACTTCAAAGAATAAAGAATATTCTCAAACCGAATGAATGTTTCTTTTTCATACTGTGTGTTTACGAGATATCTTCATTAATTGTGGACAGATTTTTATGATTTCACTTTTATGAACCTAATTAAAATTCAGAGTTGGTCCCATATAAATTTGAAGAAAAATTGCACGCTTAAAAATGGATAAATAGGGGACAAAGTTTTTAATGTAGCTTGTGACATTCCTTAGTACGCTCAAAAAGGTCAAAAATTAGATTTAAAAAGTAAAAGCCTGTCCGCATAGAACTAAAAAGAATTAAAAAAAATCAAAATTGACTTTAACTCTTCAATACACTAGTACCGACAACAGAGGCTATTATGTAAAAATTGTTTTATTATTTTTAGTTTTAGAAACCTATTATAACTTTTCATTAAGAGTTATCTTCTTTCCCTTCCCAATAGAAGGACGCTCAAATCATACCTTTACCTAAAAAAGTTTTTCTGAATATCGTCCTATTTCAATTCTTCCTTTCCTTTCCAAAGTTTTAGAACGCCTTGTCCAACAACAAATTAATTCCTTTTGTTTAAGAAATAGCATCCTTAGTTCTCTCCAACCTGGCTTTAGATCTGGTCATAGTACGACTACGGCGTTATTAAAAATCACCGACGACATTAGTCACGGTATGGAGAATCATCAAGTCACAGTATTGGTGTTGCTGGATTTCAGAAATGCCTTCAATACTGTTGATCATATCCTGTTAGGGATTCTGCGTTCTCTTAACATATCTCCAACTGCAATTTCCTGGTTTTATAGTAATTTGCACGGGCGCCGGCAACGTGTTCGTGTCCAAGATATATTTTCTTCGTGGCTTGATGTCGTAGCTGGCGTTCCACAATATGGTGTCTTATCTCCTCTTTTATTCGCAATCTTTATTAATACGATTACATCCCAAATATCTTCTCTCTACCACTTGTATGCAGATGATCTTCAAATATATTTACAAACAACCATTGAAGATCTTGCCAAAGCTGTTGAATGTATCAACAAGGATCTGGCTTTTATTCTCGACTAGACACGTTATGAGTTGACGGTTAAGCCTTCAAAATCGCAAGCTATAATTATTGGGAGTTCAAGAACCATTTCCAAAATTAAAAAATGTCAAATTCAACCCGTTGTATTTAATGGTATTCTTATTCCATATAATGAAGTAGTTAAAAATTTAGGTATCCTTTTGGATTCCAGACTGTCTTGGACACCCCAAATTAATGAAGTGAGCCGATAAATGTTTGCGGCTTATGCTTCACTCCGAAGGCTTAACTACTTTTTACTTTTGCTACTCCCTATCCTCGACTATGCTGACATTTGTTACCTTGATATCACCGAGGAGCAAATTAATAAACTTGACGACTCCAAAATCTCTGTATACGGTTCATATTTGGGCTTCGTAAATATGATCATGTCTCGGAATACCGCACTAAACTCAAGTGGCTCCCAATCCGTCTTCCTCGGAATACTCATATACTTTCTGCGCTCTACTGCGTCTTATTTAATGTAAGTCCTCCCTATCTGAAAGAACGTTTTAAATTTCTTAGCTCTTGTCACGATTTTTCCCTACGATCCAAAGAAAACCTTTCGCTCCAATGTCCTATACACTCCTCGATATTTTATGATAAATCTTTTGCTGTTTTTTGAGTTTGAGTAAGACTCTGGAACTCCTTACCCCAGTCCATTAAAAGTGCTCAATCTTTAAATGTGTTCAAGAAACAAATTAAGGAACACTATTTGTCTCTTTAACTCCTCTTTCTTTCTCCTCTTAGTTATGGTCACTAATATACCTTAAGTATGTTGTCATTTCATAGTTTCTCATATAAGTTGGGGGGGTGGGGTCAGGGGGGGGGGGGGGCTTGTTCCATCGGGGGGGGGGGGGGGGGAGGGGGGGGGGGGGGGGGTGTTTTTTTTGTCTAATTTAGTGCACCCTACCCATTAATCTTATTTTTATTTTTATTAATTTCCTCTTCTGGGTTGTCTGGAAGAGATTGCTATGTAGCAATAAGACCGCCTTTTGTTTATTTATTTATTTTATTTATTATTTATTTGGAAAACTTACAGCTAATTTACAAAAATAATATAATTATAACAAAAATGAAGGCCATTTACAAGTTTTCACTTATATACTACTTTATAATAAACAAGATTGTGTCAAAACTGATATGTACAAGTATATGGCAAGTAACATTTTAATATCGAGAAGAAAAGAAATTGTTAGAAAGTGATCGCCTAAGTTGAGGAACGTTGGAATAAAATAAGTCAATATCCACGTTGTGAATATGTGCTGTAGCATTAAAAGATTTGCATGATCGAATAATAAAAGAGTTTTGTATATAATTACTTTTCACGTTTGGTACCGATAAAAGTGTAGGTTTCCGCAAGTTAGATGATGAGGTACGTAAACTTATTTTACCCAGTAGTTAAGGGCAATCAACAACACCATTAACAATTTTAGAGAGGAAAGGGACATCTGCAATATTTCTTCGCTCATATAAAGGTAAGATATGAATTTTTTTACATCGAAGAGTATAGTTGGGTATAAACTTTTTTGATTTAAATTGAAGAAAACGCAAAAATCTTTTTTGTATGCGCTCAATCCTATGAACATATACATTATATTTAGGATTCCAAATTTCAGAGGCATATTCCAAGTGGCTACCTACAAAAGCGCAATAAAGTATTTTGAAAGTTTTTATACTTTTAAAAACTGCTGATGATCTTAATATAAAACCTAGCGCTTTGTTAGCCTTTGTAACAATATCATCAACGTGATTGTCAAACAGCAATTTTGAGTCAAAGGTAACACCTAGATCTTTGATAGTGCTGGTTCTATTTAGAGCAGTATGGTGTAATTTATAATTATATATTATAGGATTAGGTTTACGAGTAAATGAGCAAATAAAACATTTAGAAACATTTAGATCAAGTTTATTGTTAAATTATAGAGATCCTTTTGAAGGCTAGAACAACTTTCCAAATCTGTAATAGGACATAAGATTTTCATATCGTCAGCGTAAAGGACAATCTTGGAACTTTTAAAACACGTATCGATATCATTGATAAAAATTAATAAGAGCAAAGGACCTAATATGAATCCTTGCGGTACGCCAGACGATATATTGATTGTAGAGGAACGATATCCACCAAGGACGACAGATTGACTTCGATTTCTGATATATGACGTAAACCATCTGAACAAATCACCTCTGATACCCATTGTAAGGAGTTTACGTAAAAGAATTAAATGATCAATTCTGTCGAATGCTTTGCAGTAGCCTGTATATACTACGTCAACTTGTGCTGGTTTGGACATAAAGCTAGTTAGATAGTCGGAACAAATAAGGTTTGACACGGTCGATCTGTTTTTAAGAAACCATGTTGATTTTCACTAAATGTGTGACGAAGAGAAGAGTACACCTGGTTGTAAATTATTTTTTCAAGCACTTTAGCAAACAGACAGAGCTTAGAAATGGGACGATAATTTTGCGTGTACCTCATCCTTAGGTCCTTTTTTATGTACTGGAGTAATAAAAACATTTTTCCAAATATTTGGAAACATGCCCTTTTTTAAAGAACGGCGGTACAGGATGCTCAGAGGCAAAGTAAGGGAGCCCGCACAACGTATAATGAAGATCGCTGGGATACCGTCTGGTCCAGCTGATTTGTGCGGGTCGATAGTCTTTAAAAGTCCAGATACCTCGGCTTCTTTCACTTCGATGGAATTGATATGGACAGGAGATTGATCAATTTTCGTGTCAATAATATTAAAGTTGGTTGTGTCAGAATCGTGAAGAAAGTTAGATTTAAAAAACTGATTAAAGAAATCACAAATTACTTCACCTTTGCTTGAAAAATATTGACCGAATTTCATACTAGAAGGATATGAATTTGGAGATTTGTTACTCTTGACAAAGTTCCAGAAGGCTTTCGGTGACTTGCTTATATTTTTTTCTATATTGCAAATGTAAGCTTCGTACATACTTTTTTCAGGAACCTTACCACGTTCCCTTAATAAAATAAAAGAATCAAATCGGAAGTGTTTCTATATTTCTTATACTTAGAGTGGTACTTCATTTTTTCTTTTAAGATTTTAATCAGGGGGGTTTTGTAGCAAGGAGGAAATCTGGAAGTTGGTTTAACAGTTTTGCAAGGGACATGTGCATTGATTAACGTTTTTAACTTATCATACAATAAGAGTACAGCCTCCTCTAAAGTACCAATTCTAAGACAGTTGGACCAGTCCGTACTATCAAGTTGTTGGCATATTTTAGTGTAGTCTGCTAAATTATACAGGAATTTAGTTCTGGTTTGCGGTGAAAGCATATGCTGGTGGATGAAATCAACAGATACACATAATGCCACGTGAGAGGACACCAAAGGGTCTAGACATTTATGTACATCTATAAAGTTATTGCAGAAAATTAAATCCAGAATTCTAGTTGTTACAGTTTAGTTGACTATTATACTGAGATAAGGAACATAAATTAAGAGTATCAAAAAAGTCCGACTGAATGGGACCTTGAATATTAGAGGGGCATTGAGATTGCCCATCGTCAGCTGGCTGCCATATTATATTCGGCAAATTAAAATCGCCTAGAATTAAAAAAACCGTCTGTCAAATTATTTAACACAGTCTTATTTAATTTAGTGTAGAAAAATTTTAATTGCCGTAATAAAGAATTACCTAAGTTTTCATAGCACATATAAACAACACAAATATTTAATTTGCAACACATATTAGTCGATGCACGCTTTAGGGCCAGAGTAACCCATATATCTGATGAACGCCATTCATTATCCCTCATTATTTGTTCATTATTTGTTATATTTATGTTTTGTTGGTGTAAAATAAAGAGTATTGTATTTTAGTAAAATTTATTATTAACATTCACGGTAAACTACTAGAACTAACTAAAATATTCAAATAGTTTTCACCTTCAATTTTTTTAACCGTTTTACAAATAAAGATCTTATAATTATTCTTTATAATTTTCTTTCTTATTCTTATATTCCTCCTAAAATTGACTTTAAAATATTTTTACGTTAATAAATAAAAACGAAAGGCGACGTATTTTTGTTTAAAACTTTGAAATACATATTATGTTTTAGCCTAGCAAATTTAATATCCACATTTCATTTTAACAGATGTTACCGTATTTCATGAATTATCATCAAATATGTACGATGCCCACAACGATTTCAAATCGTTTTAGAATGACCTGTATTACCATTCAATAAGATGCAAGGAAAGAGGGGCGTTATATTCAATACCTACGCAAGCGAAACACGCACATCGAATTCAGATCAACCGCGGACCCGCTTTCCACTTGATGGAATTTTGATGTCATCCTTTTGCAGCTATTATTTATTGCAGACTCATTGATTTTTCCCCTAAGCTTATACAGTCAGATTTGTAATGAACAAGTGTAATATATGTCATTACTGATAATTTAAGCTAAATTACCAGTAATAACTTATATCCTTTTTGTTAAAAAGTAACTATTTATTATTTACTATGTGGTATTGGTTGTAAGGAAAAAATATAGATATATAATTTGTATTATTTGCATATCGAGTTTAGATTATGGTGGGAATTATATGAATATCAATTAAGTATAACATTAAGTATAACAATAAGCATAATTAGTATAATATTAGTATACCATTTTCCAAGAGGAAAGCTGAAAATAATGAAAGTTTAAAGATGCTTCCAATATACCTCATTAGTTATTTTACATTAAATAACATGTATTTAACAAAAATATAATAAGTTTTATATGATTTAATTCTCAGAAAGATAAAATAATCTTATATCAGCAAGATATTTTACATATGATCTAAAGCGAAATAATAGATTTTAAAATTAATACTACTAGCTACTAATTGAGTTAAAGATAATTAAATATCATATAAGAAATCAGAAATAAAAATATTGCACATACTACCTATCAATAACATGTCAGATTTTGCTCGGCCATCCTTTTCCCAAGTCATCGGATAAGCACAATCAGGAAAGTGGGATCGCAATCCAGGCACGTACGACCGCTTTACGTCACTTGTCGTGTCCCCGACTAATTCTAGTACCTAATGATCGCAAATTTAAATTCAATAGTAAGAGATAGGAAAAAGAATAGTGGAAATAATTTTAAAAACAATTATAACATTTAAAAATAATAACCAAAATTTTAATTTTGATTGCCTTTAAAAGTAAATACCTTTAAAATATAATATTATCTTTAACTGGTATCATAAAAGATATTACTTAAATGTGAATGTTCAATGAGAGAATCCACCATCCTAGTTCATTATATCACAGTTAATCGTAATTTCTTTTTACCCGTAAAAAAATTCTTTGCCAATATGACACAGTGCTGCAAAAACATACGAGCTCAACAACTTTTAATATTGATTTTGTTTTATAAATATTACACACAACATACATACACATTGTACTTCATGAATACTCTAAACTGTAGCGTCGCAATATCAGACTCCATTATACGAGATGAACATACGCAATATGCTGAATACGTTTTTGCAAGAAACGCTCGGAACTCGATTTGTACGGAGCAGATAAAATGCTTAGTCAGGTTTATAACGCAAATATAGAAAGTTACCAGTTATAACGTTCAAGAAAAGAAATCTTATGTATATATAAAAAACAATTGCTGTTCATTAGTCTCGCGAAAACTCGAAAAGGTTCAACCGATTTGATGTTTTTTATTGTGTTTGAGTAGGTCCCTAGATGGCTTAAAACTCGATTTGACCCAGCAGGTGGCGCTGTTTTGAGATCCAGAAATCACCTGTGTGAAGCCGGTGCGGATCAGTAGTTTCAAAAATAATTTTGTAAACATTCATTGAAGAATATTACAAAATTTCATACTCACCGATTCTGTGGTTACCAAATTGGTTTTGGATGGGGCTTCATCACCAAGTGCAGAAATCATGCGATCAACACACTGTTTTTGTGTTAAACCACTTCGAAAGTCATAATAAATCATCGCTCTTCAATTTTCTCGAGTCAATTCCATTTTCTCAACGACTAAACAAGTTTGACAAAATCACAAGACCGAGAATCTTTTTTTTAAATAAACAAATGGTTTTCGATTTTTAAAACCAAGGAGTTTTCAACTAAAAAGATTTTGATATGACAGGAACAGTGGAAATATTTCATTCCCGATACTTTTAGTGCAGTCTAGTAATCGAGGATGGATGTAGTCTATTGTCCACAGCAGCCACTTACCAACAGTTGGACTGTGTGCTCGTTTGTCGCCTATCGTATAAAAAAAGAAATACTATCCTCGAATACACACCAGAATGCTGCTGTGTTTCTTGTGGTACGTGTCGAACTTTTCGCCAGTAACGAGGCTGTGGAGTGTGGAGGAGTGTTTTAGTTCTCAGGAGTGCACAACACATCTGCATTTTAATCCTTAATCGATGAAAGATGTAATCAAGATCATGTTTCAAAAAGCATTATTAGGCAAGGTATATTTTTATTATTAAACGTAATATTAGTAGTAGTATATAGATAAAGAAGTCGCTTAAACAGAGCAATTTATCTGCTTTGCCTGATGAAGAATGGAAATTATACTTTGATCTTAATGTTATCCACACTAGATCCACGACTCCTGGAAACCTATGTGGCTTCTTCCTTATCCTTACGTTCAACAATTTCGGTTTAGTTGATTTTATAGCATTCTACAATAATTTCACAAGCCACTAGTTTTGTAGCATTAACTTTTACAGTAAATCTTTTAATTAAAAAGCACAAATTAGGTTTTTGAATGTAAATATAATTATATTTTTATTGTCATTAAATAATTTATCACTATTCATATAATCGACACAAAAATTGTTTTAACATAAACAATTTTTGTGTCGATATATTTAATAATTGTTATAATAATTAAAAAAAATCATAAAAATTAAAAAATCATCACATGAATACAAAACGCACCAAAATGGCAGTGACGTCATTATGTTAAAATATTGTCAACAGCTCTGATCTGTATACATATTGTTATAATTATTAAAAGTTAGTGCAGAAAATTATTACGAATTATAAATTAAATCCAGGTATATGTGAAACCGGGTTTCTCAAAGTTAATTCTGGTAATATCCTGGCTGTAGACAATTTTATGGTAACAGAGTTTTTGAGAAATGATATTCGATTCAATTCAACTGAAGCTTGAGGTGCTAAAGCTTCGCTATTTGTTTTATATATAATTGTTATCACTATGATTTACAGTATAATGTAAGTAAAAACTAAATGTGTTCATTAAAAAAAATTAATATTTTTTTACTGTATCACGTGAAAGCTATTGTGATAAACCTATAAATCTTGCAATTAAGAATAATAAAAATATTTTTTTAGAAATATACAAATTATTATTTAACCATCAAAAAATAATTATTCAAACTTTTGATTTATCGCAATTTCTCTGTTAGCTCTAAAATATCATATTATATTAAAATATTTATTTGATTGCTTTTATTAAAAATATTCATATTTGATATGTATGATTAATACATATACATATATTGCTGACGCTAATGGTTCCTGGGTTTGAATCCGGAAACGGATGGTCACTAAATGGTTAGGGTGACTATGTTGCCCTTCGTATCCGGCTCGAAGGAACCTGAAAAGGGTCCCGCTACTGGATCCTAAATTTACATCCGGAATAAAGGGCCAGAAAATGGTGTGGCCACAGGCAGTCCCTTCGAATCCGGGTCGCAGAACCAGAAAATAGTGGAGCCATAGCGTCTTAGGTTCGATTCCCGTGTTGGGCCAAAATAATCATGTCTGTGGCCGTGGTAGGAAAAAGGGAGATTATTGACCTAAAAATTTTCTAACGCATCTAATGATGTAAAATATCTTATAAAATTGCATTTTTTTATTTCGTATTACGTAATTGAATTTTCAAATAAAGTCAGGAAAAAAAAGTAATGTTACTTTGTTTATCATACTCAATAGACTTT